TATACATTTGTCTATATCTATCTCGATTCGTTTTGCCTGTTACAAACAACCGTTATGTGAACAAAGTTATAATACCCTTGTGCACAAGTGCGCTCGGGTATAAAAATGCCATTTGCACTCGGTTCCTATTTGTTTGATGTATTGGCATGGATGCACTTCCTTTTAAAAATATTCCGACAATCCAATTACTGGTATGGAATTTTTACTGTAATGGGCCCACTGGACTTACAAGCTACTGGAATAATGTATTTGGGGCATAATATCATAAGGCATTTCTGTTTAAGGGACAACATTTTTCAAGTATTTACTTTCGAAATATATTTGTGTTTTTCACTTCATATATACATATGTATGTACATCCCCAGATCAGAGTAAAAATCTTTTGGTTAGTATAAATCAAAAAAGGTGCCTGTGTACTAAATTAAAACTCATTTTAGCAAGCTCATTATTTTACTGTTAGGTCATTTTTAGCGCAAAACTGAAGCGTTTGTTAATATAGACTTTCTTAAGCCCTGCATATTTATGCACAAATATTTATTTAAGCTTTCTGCAAGTAACATTTGTTAGCGGGTTTTTTGTTTAATAAAGAAATATGTATGCTTCTTCGCGTTCAGCACAACTTTGATAGTGAAAAGTAGTAGTAGAACAACGAGTAAAGCGCTGTAATTTTAATTGTTGCTTTGATAGAATAATTTTAATAGATTTCGTTTTCTTTTTTTTTTTTGATTAAAAGAGATACCTCATATTCCTGCGTTTTCGATTGGCACCACTGCAGAAGTTGTTCCTTAACAGTGGCGGCGCGTGCATTTAATGCCGGATCAGTAAATTGGAATATGCGTGCGGAACCGGAAGGTGAGGCTGTGCCCCCGGGAGTGGTGGGTGTTGACGGTGATCTGAACAACAAGGGGTTTATCGTTTTTAAGCAACGTTATTTTGTAGCAAAGGAATATTGAAAAAAAAAAAAATTAGTTCTACTAGTAATTTCGCTGCGATTAAACAAATTTGAGAATAGAAAAAGGTCTGAAGTAAACTTTTTACTTGTTTAATGGTTTCTTAACATTTTGTGTGCAAAATTAAACTAAGAAGTTTGCAGTAGAGCTCTACAGTTGGCATTAATGATTTTTTATATTGTCTTAATTGATTAGACACTGAGAAGATTGGTGTTTACCGGAAAGAGTATTTGAATTTCTACGATTATTAATTTATAGTAGAAATCAAAGTCATTTGGAGTATTTTTAAAACGCTAAGTAAATATGTATTGTATATGTTGTTTTGAATATTGTAGAGTAATGAGTTTGTAAGTAAATTTTACCCTTTATTATATGTATGCATACTAGGGTGATCTAAAAATGCATTTGAAAAAGTAAAGTCGGAATTTTTATGCTCTCACCCCCTAAGATTATCCTATACCGCCTAAAAATATATCCCTTTTCTTTTATTTTGAAATAAAAAAATATTTACAGATCGCTCATAGCACTAAAAGTTTTCCATGTATTTTATATGAGAAAAAACTTTTCGTAGAAATGGTATGGAATTCTTAAAAATCAGTTTTTTTTCGACCGGAAAAATCTGTTTCTTTTCAGGAGAATAATACCCAATTATTTTTTTAACAATTTTTTCACAGTAACTTTATTTCATGGGTCCGTCAAAACCCCTATAAAATGCCAGAAAATGCAATGGGGGATAAATAAAAAATCTTCAGTATTAAAAAATGGTTAAATAAACAATCCGATCCGATCGGAAAATATTGGCCTTAAAGAATTTCCTTACAATTCCAACGAAAAGCGGATTTTACCCCATATAAAATACGTGGACAACTTTGATCGACCTCTACATATTTTTTGATTTCAAAATAAAAAGTAGCGATATATTTTTTTCGATATAGAACAATCCTAGAAAGTGAGAGCATTAAAATTTCGGCTTTACTTATTTTAAACCACCCTAATGTATACACAAGTGATTTGCGGTTATCGGCTACCAACACCTTATATTAAATTATCCAATTAATATTACGAATAGTCCATTAATGTTTCCTCCTCCACCAAATACCGGCTTGACAGTTTATTTAAAGTAGTTTGAAATTATTATTAAAAAATTCATGATTATGACTCTGGAGTTGAAAACCTATACATAATAGAATTCAACTTATATTGATGAAAAAATTAAAAAAATTTGAAAAGACTTTTAAAAATTTGGCCGGTCGTCATTTCTTATACATACAAGTATACAACAAAAGCATGGCTGCTTAACTCGGTAGGCTCTGGGTTCGGTCTCCGGTACGAGCAACATCTAACTTAAAAAAAAAAATGTTTCTAATAGCGGTGGTCCCTCAGCAGACAATGGCCAATCCCTGAGTGCATTTCTGCCATGAAAAAAGCTTCTCAAATCATTTTTCGTTCGGAGGCGGCGTTAAAACGTAAGTCCCTCCCTTTTGGGCGACAACATCAAGGCGCAACCCACAAATACTAAAAAAACTTGATAAGATGGTGGCTATTTACTCGACATGCGAGAGTATTTTCGCTGATAGTAAATAATATCAGAAAAACTTGGTAGCAAAGAAGTCAGAATGTATCAAAGCTCAAATAATACGAGCTATCATTTTTGAAGTTAGGAACCTCAGCTTAATCCATATGCATACATTTTTTTACAGTAGGCTCAATGATGCGAGCGGAAGCTACTGATACTATTCTGCAAGAAGATGTATCGGATAGCCCGAGATATGACAGTCTCACTCGGCTGCAGATAGCCTAGAGTGTCTTCTGAGTGACCGAATATTTAGCGTCTTAAACGAATTTGAAAATATTTGCTAAGGTCAGTGCGCCACGAGTTGGATTTAAGATGTAACGGCTTTTAACGCTGACTTGGTCATGCCGTACAAATTGACACAACGTGGAAAGGGAGAAAGGGGAAGAAGGAGGCCCCGATTACCATGGAAAGACCAGGTGGACAGGAAGTTTGACTTCACTTGATGTTAAATTGGCATCACTTAGCACAGCATATTTAGAACAACTGCTGTGCTTTATTGAATACGGCCAAAATAGGCTTAGGCTGGTATTTTGCCAAACAAGAAGAAGAACAGAATGAGTCTGATCTCATTACAAAAAAACTTCAATTTACCAATAAAAAAATGTTGAATTCTTGACAGTTTTAATGGAGCAATTAGCAATTTGACTATTTTATGAACTATTCCGCTGTGGTTGTAGTGATTGGGAGTGCTGGCTACCATTCTGCAGGGCCTGGCTTCAAGCCGGGTTCAATCCAACAACAAAAAATAAAAAACAAAAAAGGGTTTTTTTTAATATCGGTCGCCCCTTGACAGGTGGCAATGGCAAACCTGCGAGTGTATTTCTGCCAAGAAAAATACCTTCTCATAAAATTACAATCGCCGTTCGGCGAACATCAAGGCGTACGCCACAAATCGGAGGAGAAGCTCGGCCAAACAGTAATATATGTGTAAACGCCAATCTATTATTATTATTATTATTATTATTATGAACTCTTCCAATACCAGAGCACACAATCACGAATATCAATACTTATTTTACTAACCGTGTATGTTGTTAAATAACCGTAAACGGTTTTATATCCATAGTTATATTTTAAACAAACAAAAAGAACGTAGGTAATAATTTCTTACTTTGGCGATTGCTGAGAGTTTTGTTTGTCCAACTGATGGAATTTCGCAAACGGCGAAGCTGGCTTCGATGCAGAGCTGCCAGNCGCCAATCTATTATTATTATTATTATTATTATTATGAACTCTTCCAATACCAGAGCACACAATCACGAATATCAATACTTATTTTACTAACCGTGTATGTTGTTAAATAATCGTAAACGTTTTTATATCCATAGTTATATTTTAAACAAACAAAAAGAACGTAGGTAATAATTTCTTACTTTGGCGATTGCTGAGAGTTTTGTTTGTCCAACTGATGGAATTTCGCAAACGGCGAAGCTGGCTTCGATGCAGAGCTGCCAGCGCCACTTACAGTGCGTGTTGTAACTGCGAGAAAAGAATGTTTAATAAATAAACAAATAAGTATATAAATATAAAAGGAAAAACTAAAAATAAAATATAATAAAATATACCTACCTTTAGTTGTAGTTGTCACAACGGCACCATCTTTTTCCTTTGTTTCCGTTTTCTCAGTGGTCGATGTAGCTTGTTGCTCTGTTGAGGTGGGTATTTGAAGGTCAGTTACATATTATGTATTTGTGTGTGTGTGTATTTTTTCAAATATTTAGTTTTTGTTTTGGTTGATTTGAAGCATTTGTAAAGCACAAAAATACGAAAAAATACAAAAAAGAACAAATATATATATATAAAGCATGCGTTAGTCAAAGCTTTTCTAATTTATAATATAAAACAAATATAGATATACATATATGTATATTATTTGTTGTATAAAATTTGAAGCCCAAAATGTTCGCTACACTTTCGGTATTACCAGATACACATTTAAAAATTGTACTACATATGTATTTACAATTTCTTATAGCTACATTCTCATACCAAAAATCCCAAAAAAAAACAAACTTATTATTTTGCAAAAATAGGTTAGTCCTAAATGCTTTTAAAAGGTAGTACAAAAAACAAAGTAAAATTCGCATAAAAACCTCCATTTTATTGTGCTCTCAGGTAGAGCTGTTTCCATTTCAAGTTACTGAAACTATTTTTCAATACATTACGGTTTAAAAATTAAACTTTCAAAAACTGTTATTCATCTTCATTAGGGTACCTCATGAAAAAAGTCAGAAAATATTTTTTATATCTTTTTTTTGTTCTTTTAAATATTAGGATGCTGTGACCTTTTTAATTAAAGTTAAACCCCAAAAATTTTATTAACTTGAAAAAAATAAAATAAAATAAAATAATGTTTATACTAAAAAAAAATTTTAATCTGGCATTTACTACTTCAACAACAAAAAAAGTTTAGAACCCTATTTTACCATTTTAAAATCGCGTTCTCCTTATTTTAAAGTTAAAATTCTGCTTTGCCATAAAATGCATTTCAAGTTGACTATGGAAGAGTTAAAATGATGATTACAATAAAACACAATTTAATCGTTAAAGCTTTTTTCCAAGTTCTCTATGACTACGGGCCATTATATTTTAAGACATTAGCCAAAACATTTCGGAAAAATATAAAGATTTAGGTGAGTTGGGCCCAATTAAAAAATACCTCCCAAAATCTCATTATTTTGATTCCGTTTATACAATATTTAACATTTTTATGCAGGCCTTTTAAGCTTAAACTCTTCTATCATATGAATGTTTCGAAAAAAAAAATAAAATTAAAAACTAATTTATTTATTTATTTATAAAAAAGATATTTTCACGTAATGTATGGAGAGTGATGCACCCTAATGGAACATAAACATATCAATGGTGAATTCTGAATTTATCCTACATACACGGTGCAAAAAATCAACAACAAAAAATTGCACGAAATGACAGAGTAAAGGTCGTAAGTCGAGTCGAGTAAAAAACTATGTAGGAGTAAAAGGATATTCTTAAATAATGTCCGAAATAAATATGTTTTGGTGTAAATTTGTGGAAATAATTATGTTGTACTAAACATAACGGAAAAGAAACTCAGAGATTTTCAGGGTGTTAAAAAATTTTCACCCATATTTTGTTAAATTATTCGATCAAGGTTACGATCTTTATGATCTAAAATTTACATATGAAATATAATAATAATGACAGAAAAAATAAATTTCAAAAATAACGGTAAAAATTTATCGAAAAACTAAAAATTATAAAACAACTGTTATAAAATTTAAGAGAAATGTTAATTCAATTTTAACGGTTAAATTATGATTTTTATTATAAAGATCATAACCGTTACGGTCTCTGCTATTTAAAAAAAAATATATATATTTTTATATAAGCTTTGCTTATAACTTTTTTAGAATCTACCCGTTAGGCCAAATTTGCTTCAAACCCAGAGATAACTTTATTGTAATTCCAAATTTATATTTCATATTTTTTACAAAAAATTGTTTTTCAAAATAAATAATTTTAAAATTAAGTTTCCTCGAAACGACATTAGCGGCATAATAAAGCTTGCAAGGCAATGATTTTTTCACAAAAATAAACTTTAAATTAAATACCTAAAAATTGCATTGCCCTTAAAAATTTACACGTATATCCGAATAGTTTCAGTACTTAAAACAACAAGAGGTTTCATAAAAAAAATGCATAACACTAGTTAAAAGGTCCCACTGTATACACCTCTAGAAAATATTGTATCTAGTATGAAAAAGAAAATGTATAAAAATCGCATGCAATATAACGAAGAGAACGAAAGTTCTTATTTAAGTATAAAAAAGTGTGTATGCATTTTCATTAGATCGTACCACATTACAAGCAAGCAAAAAAAGTTCGCCGTACACCCCTGAGTCTAAAGTATTTTTGTAAGGTAATTCGTTAAAAAATATGTTTCGGTGACAACTACATTCGGCAACCAGAAATCCTTTTTAAAATAGTTCAACTAGAATAAGCGAAATACTCCCTTAGCAAAAGTTTATTGACTTTTGTTGAGCTTTAATTTACTGACATTAGCGTGGTACGTTAGGGTGGTAGGCACTGAGATCTAGTGGATAAGTACTAGAACGGGCTACTTGAGGCTTAACTTTGGAAAAAAAAAATAAAAAAAATGTCTCCTAATACTTTAAGATGCAACTTCAAATGCCAAACTTTTGACGAAGAATGTAAAAAGTCGACCCCTCGAACCAGTCGAAATTGCTTTGTAAAATTACCTTAGACTCAGCGGTGTGCGGCGAACTTTTTTTCCGGTACGGTCTGATGAACATACTACATTCTATATATATGATAAGTAAGTATATATTCGCATATGAATGGAAAAAAGGCGGCATTTAAAAAAAAAAGTAATAAGAAGCAACGAGCAACAACTTCTTGAACAAATTTGTAGCATAGTTATTAAAAAATACATGCGTCTTAAGCAGTTTTTGCCTGTCGTAGCGATAGTGTACATACACATATTTATTCATAAAAAAAATCAATGTATGTACATACACTCGCGAACAAAAAAAATGTACAGTGAATGTGTATCGTATAGTTAAATTAAAAGTACCAGGTCTATATATGTACATGTATGCGTATGTTTTTAATGTGTTTGTTTGTATATACAGAAGGAGGGACAACATGGTTGTATTATTATTATTCCAAACAGAAACGATTTTATTTTTTTTTCCAAATTAGTATTTGTAGTTAAAAATTTGTTTGCCAATTTTCGTCGTAATTTTTTATTCACTAATATTATCGAATTGCGCTTCAATATGCAGCATATCAACACGAACAAACAAATTAACGATCGGGCGTATCAGCGAGTAGAAAAAATAAACGAGCATGTGAATGTGTGTGAGCTGGCGAGCAGGCGGGCAAGTGGGCGATCAGGTAAGTGAGCACAATTGCGCTGAGTGGATTTGATTTGGAGGCTGTGGATTGTGTGGACTGCGAGCGGTGAGGTGTGAGCTGCTTGTGAAACTGGGCAGGGCTGGGCGAGGCTAGGCAAGAAGCTGGCTTCACAACTTGGCCTTGAAAGGCTTTAATAAAATACGAACGAAACATAGTACGTTTACACTGGACTTGTCATTTTTTTGAGGTTAGTTTTTTTTTGAACAAAGCACTAGCAGGGCGTTTTGCTTTTAACTTGATGGAGAACTTCTGGGAAAAACGTGGCACATGAAAATCGTTGATGAACTCACACTGTATGGAGCGAATGTGTAGCAACCAGCAGAGGCGAAAATGAAGGTGAACGTACCAATGGAACGTTTCCTGCTACCGAATTGTTGGTTTCTATAATCGCTGGAACCAGTAACTCCGCGGGGGCTTTTCAGACGCATATGTGCATATATGTTGATATGACTATACTATTGTCGTATTTCATTAATATAAAGTGTCAGACTTTCCGTGAGATCCTCAGAGCTACACCAATCATTTCTCTTCACTTATTATACGTTTGCAGTGACATAAAGGGTTCATCGCATGTGAATGGTATTTGTTTGCGTGTATTTGACGTATGGTGTAAGCATGGTGATAAATAGTTTATATGTACGAGTATTTTGTAATTAAATTGAAATCGGCGTTAAAATTGCAATAATAAAACAACATGTAGTCCCTCAACTTCCGTTATGCTTCAAGTCGCTTTGTCCGTTGCAGTTTATCAGTCCCACAAATCAAAAATCAAGTAGTAGGGATAAGGAGTGAGTGAGAGAGAGAGAGAGCGCGATACATATAAGAGGGAGGGTTTGATAAAATAGTAAATTATGTGTAATAGTGCTGACGATGAGCAACGTTCGAGACACGGCAAGTATTTAATTCAGACAGGAATCGTGCTTGAAAGCTCTGTCTGGCTATATTTCGCTGTTGTTGTGCATTCACAACTAAACATTGATTCCATATTGATTTTCATTTCGAATTTCATTATCCCTCCGCTACAATTTGGAATGGTTGGCACGCACAATGATCCCAGCTTAGCACGCGCACCTTACAACCTACGAGCCCATCATTAGCTGCTCGAAGGCGTCTTCAACGTTGCTCTCGTCAAGTAGATTCAAATTCGCAATATGCGGCATTGTTGCGCTTCGTGTCAACCCACCCCCCAACACAGTTGTTCCAGCTGAAGGCACACCATTGCTCGTCATTGTGGTCAGCGATTTGCGACTCGCCGAAATCTTTTCGCTGGTCTTGTGCCGATTGATTGTCGATTTCTTGGCGACCTCCTGCATTGGCGGCCGACGTTGTTGCTGTTGTCGTTGTTGCAGTCCTCATTTCAACTGCATTCTTCTCCCAATTGGTTTGGCGATCTTTTGCCGAAAAATATGCCTCAGACGGTGCGTTTCTTCTCACCAATTTGTGCCTTATCGAATGCCCGCCTCATACATGCGCACATTCAACGTATGCCCAGACTTGGTGCGACGCAATTCGCCACCGCCGTTGGCGCTGCTGCCGAATTTTGGCGAGGTAGGTGGCAGCTGTGCATTCGCTTGATTTTGTAGTTGTACTATTTGGTTCCACGAATCGCTCTTGCTCAAGCGATTCGTGCGAGGAGATGCGCATCAAAATGTGTTTGCTCATTATCCTCCTGCCGACGCGACATTGATGTGAATGCGCTGATGTTGTTGAAGACAATGTTGCGCGGTATGAGATCTTCGTCTGGCTGTGGAGTGGCTGGTATTTCCACAATAGAAGGTTTCTTGGTCAATGTTGAATGTTGCACAATTTCGTGGTGCCTACTCTTTGTGACCTTCGTGCTGCTGCTCTCGAACTTTTGTTGCGTTTGTGTATTGGTCACGGGACTCTGATAAGAATTGGGCACATAATGATGACGTTGTGGTGGACCAAACTTTTTCAGTATGGGCATATCCTCTTTGGGCAGTGATGACTTGACGATATCTGGCGTATCAGGTGGAGCCGATGACTTGTACTCCTGCTTAACCACGGTTTTCGTGTCCAATATATAAGCCGCTTTTCTTTTTTCTTGTTGAATATCGAAAACATTACCAAGACTCTTGCGTCGAGTTTCCGTCGACTGTTGTTGTTCCTTGCTCATGCTGTTCGAACTTACGCTGCTTGCTAGCGACCAATGATTGCTGCGATAGTACGCGATTTTGGGCTTGCAGTGGACTTATCGCTGAGTCGAAGGTTCGTTGCCTGTGGTGAGCGATATCTTGCTGTGGCTGAGTGTGCTGTTCAAAGGATTTAGTCTGCCATGTAGAAGATCGTTACCTGACTTCTTGTCGTCAATTTAGGCACACTTTTTACTTGCGGAGATGTAGCTTGTACTGGAGGTTGATATTCTCTTTCTTGTTGTGGTAATTTGGACTGTACTTGTGGGGGAGCCAGCGGCTTCTGGTTAGGTGGTTGAGTATATTGTTGTTGATAGGCAGGCTCGGATTGGGCGGGGGTATATAGTGCGCGGTTGTTACCGCAGATTTGGGTGCTACATTTGGCTTTCGGTTCGTGGCATAGCTTTGTACATTGTTGTAGCTTTGCATCTGTGGGGGCGCCCGAGTTTGTGTTTGGTACATATTTTGTGATTCACTGTTACTGCCAATAGAGTTTTGGGACTTGTGTTGTGGCTTAACTTCCACCACCGAATGTATGGGATTGGGAGTCCAATTTGTGCCGGGTGAAGGTAAGTTGTGTGACACTGATGAACTGGCGGACGAATTTTCAGATACATTGCGGTTTCGCTGCAATGGCAATGAATTTGGATGTTGTTTCCCATAGCCATTCTCATAAATATCCTCTGTCGGATATGTGACTACATAGGCAGTTTGAGTCTCACTTACGTAGGGCAGCGATTTTGCTGAAGAAGCGCTGGATACGGCGCTAACCTGCTGGTATTGCATTTGTTGCTCTTCTTTCCGCGTATTATTTACACTTGTATTATTAACCTGTTCCGCATACTTCTGCTGTTCCGCCCGATATTTCTCCTCAGCACGTGCCAATTGCAAACTGCGATCGATGTGCTGGCTGGGCATTGGTGGCGTTTTAGCACGTAATTTTTTCGGGTTAGCTTGAACCGGAGCCTTAATAGTGGTCTCAATGTACTCTGGCGTACGGTTGGGCTCAAATTTGGTGAGTTCTGGGAACAAAGGTTCAACGATTGGCGCTTGATATGCACGACCATCCGGCGATAGACAAGTCTTTGGCGATTCCACTTTCCTCGCAACCTCCTTCTTTACTTTCGCTCCACCATTTCCATTTTTACCGATATTTCTCATTGCATGCAGAAGGTTTCGCGCATTGCGTGAGTTCTTGCCGAAGACTTCATCATCGCTGGCATGCGCTGTACGTCTGTCGCGTATTGTTACAGCGGTTTGACTTTGGGGCTTTCCCATCACCCGAGTTTCGGCGCGGTATTCCAACAAATTATCTGAGTCTAGGTCATCGTCGGTGTAATCCGTTTGCTGCATAGTTAGGATACTGGGACTTGTTGGCGCGCTTTCCATAGGGCTGACGTAATCGAATTGCTTTGCNTTTCCCATCACCCGAGTTTCGGCGCGGTATTCCAACAAATTATCTGAGTCCAGATCATCGTCGGTGTAATCCGTTTGCTGCATAGTTAGGATACTGGGACTTGTTGGCGCGCTTTCCATAGGGCTGACGTAATCGAATTGCTTTGCTCTAGGAATATTGTTGTAGTAGGCGCGAGTATCTCCAGGCGGCTGGTAAGTTGGATTGGAACTGGTGAGCACCAGTGGTGTCGCATTCGGATCGGTTAAGGAACTTTCGCGCTGCCGCACATAGTCCGCAGTTATTGAAGTCTCAACAGCTGATGGTAAGCAGGGATAGCTTTTGTAGTTGCTGTTGCGCGCCATGTCGGCATACGTAAATGAGATATTGGTTGGTTGTGGTGGCGGACCGTAAGGGTCAGATGTAGAGCCGTAGGCTTGTNGCTTTTGTAGTTGCTGTTACGCGCCATGTCGGCATACGTAAATGAGATATTGGTTGGTGGTGGTGGCGGACCGTAAGCATCAGATGTAGAGCCGTAGGCTTGAGACAGCTGTGATGGTATATACTGACTGTGTGCGGCCATATATGGATCAGCGGTGCTGGGCAGTGAGGGTCTTTTCTTGTACTCGTCCATTGGTGGTTGTTGGCTAACCTTTGACGAACGCAGCGAATGATGCCTCTGCAAATATGAATTTTGAAGATTATCATTTTGGGAACGTTCCTCGAAAGTATGCGCTTTCTTTCTGAAATCGCTATTGTCTACTGCGGGCCTAGCGACCCACGGCAAACCTATGGGCGATGAGGTGGTGGATGAAGGTGATGTCACTTGTGTGCCATTCACTGACTGTTTTGTGGTCAGGAACTGGAACTGCGGTGAGGCAGGCGATATCTGTGCTGGTGCTGAGAGGGGTTTATTAGAAATGGATGGTGGCTGCCAAGTATTCAACTTTTGCGGCAGTTGCGGTATGGGTTTGAAAATGTTATGACTAAGGGTGTCGTTGTTGTCAATGGGCCGGAAAACTGACTGAGGGGCGTGCTGAAATTGATTGACCGGCGCCGGTTTTGGCACCGACATGCTTGGCATGGCGGCATGCTGTGCTGCAGCCAAACGTTCTCGCTCCATAATCTCCCTCTCGTAGTATTCTCGTTCGATTCGATCGCGCTCCTGCCGCTCACGCTCTAAGCGCTGGCGCTCAAGACGGTCACATTCTATACGTTCGCGTTCAAGGCGCTCTCTCTCTTTGCGGCGTTGACGTTCGTTTGCCTCTTGTTGAGTGCGTTGCAGCAGTTGCTGCTGTTGCTGGTATTGTAGATATTGCTGTTGTTCTTGTTGCTGCAGATGGTAGTCCTGTGCGGCTACTTGTTTCTGCCAGTAATTCTTGGCAGCGCTGTGTGGCACGTGACCGGGCGCTTGCGGTGGTTTGCCGGTTGTAACCTGTGCCGCGGCGCCCACTTCAAAGGTGTGTTTCAAGTTTCCGAATTTGTTGGTCCAGTTAGAAACTGAACGCGAACCAGTCCAGCCGAGACCAGGCTTATCGCTTTGTTTGTTGATGAATGCTAGAAATTTGTGATCGTTTTCAGTCTTTGGTACGAATGGTGGTATAACGCTGCGAACTTTTTGCTTAACATTCACTTGAAGTGTGCGCTTTAAGCCCAGCTGTGGTGCTTTGTCCTCCGGCTCGGAATCTGTGTCAAAGTCGGGATTGTATTTTTTGGACTTCGGTATATCGATGGTATTTGCACGCTTCAGAAGTTGTTTTTTATTTGAGAAACGATTAGATTTCAAACTGGAATCAGGTGAATCATAGCCGTTCACATGGGACGCTGTCGGTTCTTCATTCGGTGCATTCGAATGTGTTTGTGTCTCATTTTTGGTAGAATTTGGCTCGAAACTGACGGAAAAGTTACCCGACAACGGACGTTTGCTCTTTGAGGTATCCTTTTCTCGCTCAGTTGTTTGTTTTTCGCTATTAAGGCATGTCGTTGTGTTCTTTAGTTGTGCAGGTACAAACTGATTTGGACGGTATAGTGCCGAAGACGAGTTGCCCGTGAGTATCGCACCCGACGACGGATTTTTCTCGATAGGGCACCACTGGGGCGGCGTGACAGGATTGCCCGCCAAACCGCTTTCAGGCGTTGTGCAATTGGATATATTCTCTATCATTTGCATATCTTCCATGTAACGTCTTGCGTCGGCCAATTCTTCCCGACTTACGCCGACTGTGTGGCGACTGTTGCGATTACGTCGACGTGCAAAACGTTGGCGATTCGAACGTTGCCCATCGGTCTCCGGCGAGGAGGCCTCATCATATGCCCCCGCATTGTTGGCCATATTTGACAGACTCAGTGCAGCGTCGGGTGAACTGAGACCCGTTTGGAGGCGGGCGACCAACGCAAGCAGAGCCTCGCGTTTACTACCATCAACTGGTATATCCTTGCCCTCTTTCAAGGACAGCTCTAGACGTGTTAGAGCGGCGGTGACCTCTTCAATCAAATTTGTATCACTTTGTAGTTGCAAACTATCACGCAGACCTGCCGCAATGAGGCGCAAGTCCTCACCACTCTCTGTGCCGGAGTCCTCCTTCTGAGGGACGCCTAACCTATCGATCTGTTTCTGCTTGGAAACGACGCTATCACTCGAACGATTACCACCACTACCACCAACTTTGGCGGTACTGTTCTTCATCACAATGTCGCGTGTCATTGTCGGTTGAGATTCTTTGGAATCTAAAGGCTTGTTTGTATTTGTGTTGTGTGTGCAATCTTTATTGTCGCTATGTGTTTGTGTATCTGAGTCAGTTTGTGTATTATTGTTGTTGCTGTTGTTTGTATTGGTTTGGTCGTTGTGGCTTACGCTGCAATTGTTGTTGTTGCAATTATTAACAGTATACAAATCACTACGTTCACTACTACTACTACAGGCCTTATTTGTATGTGTGCTAGTCTCTGCTACTTGATTCACTTCCGTATTTGGTGCTTTTTCGGAGTTTTCTGTGAGTTGGCATTCACTTTTGGCTTTGGCAAACTCTTTTGCAATAGGCCTTGCAATAACGGCACTAGCGACTCACCCTCACTAACGGATTTCGAATCGGTTTTATCGGCACTTGCTTGAACGTCACACTCTTCGGCAGAGTTTGAAACTTTGCTATCACTTGAGGCAGCTTCTTCTACAACGGATTTAGCTTCCGCTTTATCAGCTGCTGACTTGTGGAGCAATTTCATTTACTTCTGCTTTTGCTTCTTCTTTTCTTTCTCTTTCTCAACAAGTTTGTCTACCTTAACTTCTATTTTAGTTGGGGCTTCAGCTGTCGCCTTTTGTTTTTCAACAGTTTTTGTTTCTGCTGCTTTATTTTCACTAGCTGTATTGTTTTGGCCTGAACGTGTCTTCTTCTTCTTCTTCTTCGCCAAAATCGGCTTCGGCGTCACTGTAATCGGTGACGGTAACCTCCTCAACGATCTCCTCGTATTCACTAGCACTGCTATCGTCAACTTCTGGCGCGTTTTCGGATATATCACCCGAATTCAAATCTTTTTTCTCTAAGGATACCACAAATATAAACAAAAAAATATATATGAAGTTATGTATGTAAATAGGCACTCAATGAGTTCAAAAGTGATGGCTTAGAACAGAATTCGACAAACAACTTAAGGCAGGGGGTTTACGAAATCGGTATGATAAATTCAACGATCACATGTATTTATTTATGTATGTTTGAGAGACCGTCAACAGCAACACATCCAAGTGGGTAGATTTTCTTATAGAAAGTGGAACATTTCACTGTAAACGAACGAACGAACAACGAACTGATCGAGAACACGAATTTTGTACTACGTGAAAGTATGAGAGAATACATACATAATTACATATATATATGAAGAAATAGACAGCAAGTGACGGTAATAGAAAAACGTAAGGACTGAAGTGAATGAGGCGCAATACATTGAAGTGATGTGAACAAAATGTAGATCGAATGGATTTCAACGTTAACATACATACATACATTGTATACCAACCGATTTAATATATATACCTAAAATACTGTAATGGCTGGATACCCAAAATTCAAGACAAACTCTTGCCTAGCTAAAATCAATCTAAAAAAAAAAAAATAAGGTAAATCATTATTCAATGTGAAAACGCTTCAAAACTACGAAAGAGAGATATGTAGATAGATAATATGAAATTAATTTTTGTTTCGAATACTAAAAGACTTATACATAGTTACATATTAATCGTCCATCACCACTTCCACCAAATTTAATAATATTTAGAAAATTCAACTACTTCGTTCTAACATTTTTCTTTAATCATAAAATTTTCCTATAATTTTTTCTTAACTATCGTTAGTGCAGTGTTGCATTTTGCCATTACCTTCACGTTCCGCCATTAAATCTCGTAGACGCGCGCGTATCTTCCGGCGTTCTTCGTATGTAGTGGCCTGTTCAAGCTGTGAGTGAGTGGTTTTGAAGATGTGAGGCAAATTTCAATTTTTTTAATTTCGATATTTTCAAATACATATCTACTTATGTAATTTCAAAAGATTTTTTTTTGTGTACATGTTTTATATAAAGCTGGTTAACTTACCAATTCCTTTAAAATTTCTTCGTCCCAGATCTCCTCGATATCACAAGTTTTACGGGTAACTGGTGTTGAAGAGCTTCCAGACTTGGTCGTTTTCGTTATACGAGTGGTTTTTAACTGTAATTAATGAAAGGTCATAATAAAAAAATGAATTTGTACAGGCTTTAAAAAATATACATAAATATGTACATACATACATACATGTACACAAGTACACATATAAAATTGGATTTAACTATGTACAGACATACATATATATATAGTATATTAGACTGATTCAGAAAAATATACTAATTATTTTTTTTAAACCCCCTCTTCAATACCTCCGGGGGTTGTCCAAAATATGCCTGTTAAAAGCGCAACCCTTAATATTAAGTTTAAAAGGTAGCGCACATTTTCATAGGGTAATCTGAAGGTTGACCCCTGTGCGACACGCCTTAACCAACTCCAATCGGGGCCAATCCGGTCCGGGGATTTTCGGGATGTCGTTATCACAATTCCGGGATCCCGGGATTAGACCCAGGATTTAGATGTTCATTACTTTTCAACAACTTAAATCGAAAAAAATGCTTCTTTTGTTTGAGAAGCTCTTCTACCATAAAAAAAATAAAAAATAAATAAATGGGTTTGAAACCAACGTTTTTATTTAAAGTGGCGTTTTTATTTTTTCTCGCTGACGTCAGGATTTATTTTAAAGAACTTTGTAATTTCAAAGATGTGATTGATTCCAAAAATTCGTTAAAAAATTCAATGCAATGTAAAATAAAAATATGGGTACTAAATGCAAGAGCAAATTTCTTTAGAATTTAAAAAAATACAATTTTTCGGATTCACACGGACGAATAGGTGATGTTTTAAGCTGATCAAGTTAGAAGGACGAAATTCAAGGATGTTATCGAGTTTATTTAAGTTGCGAAATTTCAAGGACATTTTCAATACTTACCAGTCCCTCTGCACCAAAAATTTGAATCTGTTTAAATTTGACAGGATTTCCTCTTTAATTTAATACCCATAATTCTTCCCTGAGCACATTTCTCTGAATTTTGTAAATTTTTGCACACCCCAATTTTTAGCACCTTGCTAAAAAAATATCTCATCATAATTGTTGACTCTCATAAAGTAATACATCTCATCATAAAAAAAAAAAAAAATATTTTAAAAATAGTTCTTGAAAAACGCCCATTTTTTTAACCATGTTTTTTATAGAGAATTAAACAAGGATTATGATGGAGTAATTTTAAATCCCTAATTTAATGGTCTTTACTATGCAAATCAACTTCAAAAAGTTCAACTGTTAATAGCTAAGTTTGCTTTAAGACAATCATGACCATCTTTAGCTTAAAAACGACGTTAAGATGAAGTCTCTACGACTAGCAGAACCCCAGATATAACGATTTTAAGAATTACATGATTAGTTAGAATCACGAATAAATCCAAACTTTGACAGATCATATCTCCGAATAAAAAAAATTCAAAAAAATTTCCTCGAAGAAACTTGAAGCGAATCAAAAGTGTTACACCAAATTTGGTGCCCGATATGAAAAAGAATGCCTCATATACATATATGTATTTATAAAAAGTAAGTACTTTTTTGAAGCAGACATCTTTAAATTTATGGGATTTAACGGCAATAAAAGCTTGTAAATGAGGCCACCAGCACCCGGAAGTTAATGGAAGACGAGCAAAGGCGTATGCACTCATTTTGCGAAAATAAAAAGAAATGTACACATATGGGCAATTCTCACAAACTTCGAATTTTTTTGTGAAAAAAATTATTATCATTTTTTTTACTCCTGAGCACATGTATGAAATTTTTAGTATACGTTCCTTTAGCTACTAGAATACAACATCCAACGTGGTGCAATATTTTAAAGCAACGCCCCATACGTTTTTAACGTTTTTTACGCGTTTGTTTTTTAGAAATCGAAAGTGGGCGTAATTTTAGTCCGATTTCGAAAATTTTCAAAATATAATGCCAAGGTCAATGCTTGCACTGAGTTTGGTACAGATTGATAAATCAATTACCGAGATACACATACAGTGAACCAAATTTTTACCAAAGCAAAATGCAAATTTTAAGTATCTTGGACTAACCGTTGGTTTTCGGCAATTTTTTTTTTATTGGCGGTACACCGCATTTTGTTCATATAAACAAAAATTGCGAACATAAATTGCCAAAAATCAACGGTAAGTTCTAGCATCTACAGCTCTTGCTCTTTCATTTATCATCTCATTTTCGAAAATCGAACGAACGGTGCAGATTTGATGACATGCACAAAAAATGTCTTTGGGTATTATAAAAATTAATTTAAAAGCAATATTAACAAAAATATAACGATGAAAATTTATGTCACGTCACGCCACGTCACGTCACGTTTCACACTTGGGGTTGTAAAAGAGAATTGAAACAAAACTCTAAAAACAACTAGAATTGCTCCAAATCATATTAAAATAAGTTTCATGAAAATAGCCATCCACAATTCGCAGAGTTTTGCGATTTTGTAAGAAAAGAAAAAATCAACTTCCATTTTTTGTCACGTAACGACACTCCCTTTAAATTTTTATATTTCAGGACCAAGCAGTTGGATTGATTTCATTTTTCGGTTAAATATAGAGCTAATTATGTGCTATACAATGGCCCAAAAAAGTTAAAGAAAACAAATGGTATTCCTTTTTTGTATCACATTGAAATCGTACGACTGTCACGTGCGCCACCATGGGAATGCCCATATGTATGTAACCTGATGTTTGTTAATAAACCAGCGAAAATTATGTGTCCGAATAAAAACTGTCGAGTCATGCGAAAGTTCAAACTAAGAATTGGCCCTTATATTTAATAGAAAAGTATTAATTCACTGTGTCAATGAAATCAGATGAAAATTTTTGTACTTATTTATACACTTCTATGTACATATGTATGTACATGCATACATCGCAAAATATATGCAGTCTCAAAAAGTTTTTAGAAATATTAAATTTTTATTCAGCAGATTATATATTGTTTTTTTTTTTTAATGCAAAAAACTACTAAAGCTTAGTACCTTTTCATGAAATTGGCAAAGCGAGATAGCAATTGTGCTGTATTACAATAAAATGGCCATGCTTTCACTTAAAAAATCAACGCAATTATTTAAAAAGATCTTCTGCTTCTCCCACAATAAATTTAAATATGTACATACATAGCTCATGAACTGTTCGAGAAATTAAAATTTAACATTTCCACACATAAATGCAGCAACTATTACGAATTTTACCTTTTTTGGTAACAACAATCGGTCGAACACCAATCAGCCAACCAAGCGAGCGGCCACATGGCTAAAATGCCTTTCCTCTTTCTCTATTTTTATTTATTTCTGTCTGTCGTAAAGCTTTCTACGTTTTCAAATTTTTCAAAAAAAAAAAACAGAAAGAAATAACAAATAGCCACAACACGCGTATCTATTTTTGGATATACATACATATGCACATATGTAAATCATTTTCAATACGTTCAAGATAAATGGTAAATGCGCATACATGAAGACGAAGGATGCGAAGTTGTACAAATGTACATACATACATACATACATACGTGTATACATAACAACAAAATAAACAAAATGTTTCAAAGAATATGCGGAGCAATGCCAACAAACTCTGTGCATTAGATCGTACCACCTTTCAAGCAAACAAACCAAAGTTCGCCGTACGCTGCTGAGTCGTAAGTGTTTTTGCAAGGCAATTTCGAAAAAAAAAAAATTTACCAAACCTTTTAAATTTTTCAGTA